CCCTGCTCTTCCTCATTTACATCAATGATCTTCCAAACATATCCCAACACCTGAAACCCATTCTCTTTGCTGATGACACGACTTATGCCATCTCCCACCCTAATCTTGCCACCCTCAACACCATTGTTAATGAGGAGCTGCTCAAAATATCGACTTGGATGACAGCCAATAAACTTACACTTAACGCTGGCAAAACCTACTATATTATGTTTGGTAGCAGAGCAGGTGTTGCGCAACTTAACATTAAGATCGACAACACTCTAATTGCCAGACATAATGAGGGCAAATTCCTTGGCCTATACCTCGACAACAACCTAAATTTCAGCACCCATACCCAACACATAACAAAAAAAGTATCCAAAACGGTGGGTATCCTCTCCAAGATACGATACTACGTACCACAAACTGCCCTTCTCACACTATACCATTCACTTATATATCCATACCTCACCTATGCTATCTGTGCTTGGGGTTCAACTGCAGCAACACACCTAAAGCCAATAATAACCCAACAAAAAGCCACAGTAAGAATAATCACTAAATCCCATCCCTGGCAACACACCCCCCCACTCTTCATAGAATCTAAACTTACTCCCTGTTCAGAACATCCACATTTACTACTGTGCAATCTATATCTACAGGACCTTAAATTCCAATATTAACCTTGACCTAAAATGCTTTCTTGATAGTTGTGACAGGATCCACAGGCATAACACCAGACACAAACATCTCTGTGACATTCCCTGTGTTCGGACTAAATCTTTACAAAAATTCAATGTATTTCAAAGGACCTAAAATCTGGAACACCCTACCTGAAAACTCTAGAACTGCAGACACATTCATCACCTTCAAAACTACAGTTAAAAAACATCTTATCTCCCTGATCCACCCCGACAACTAACTACATGATAACCACCTGGTGGTTCACAATTACACTCACTCACCCACTGACTATAAACCCAGAAATACTAATCTTAATCTAAAAATAATAAATCCTAACTAGTCATAAGTTTGCCTATGATACTCCAATATAGACACCTTGTATTGTGCCAAAACAAAAGCATTCACATTGCTAAACTCACAAATTATGATGTAGTCACTTAGCCTTAATACCATAATCTGTAAGGATTTAATGTTAAGAATTAATCTAAGTCTGCTCGAAATGCCTAGCCATGCTAGGTGTCCTAGTGGCCCCCTCTGTAATTAGTATTTTATAACATGTAAACCACACAATACCCAAAACCTGTAAACCCCACATTGTAACCCTTATAGAGAATAAACTTGAATTGAATTGAATTGAATTGAATTGTTGCAAGTCTTGTCTTGGCTGGAAATTTTCAGCACGCTATTTACATCCCCTTTATTTATTCCTGTTTTCCATTTATACACCTCGATCATATCCCCCCTAATTCTATGCCTTTCGAGAGAGTGCAGATTCAGGGCCCTCAGTCTATCCTCATAGGGAAGATTTTTGATACACGGGATCATCTTTGTCATCCTCCTCTGTACGTTTTCCAGAGCATTTACATCCATTCTGTAATACGGTGACCAGAACTGAGCAGCATAGTCTAAATGAGGCCTAACCAAGGATATAATAGCTCATGTGTGTGTGTGAATATTCATCTGAGCTGCTGCTGCTACATTCCTTCATTTTAGGTGTCTTAAGTTGAAATCCCCCAACAGCAAGATGTTTGGGGCAGGAGTTGGAAGATTTTCCAGTTTTCAGAACTGTTAGTTGAATTGTTGGGAAGGTTTTGTTTTTCAGTCTTTACTGCCAAAACTTCAACTACATCATTTGTGATGTTAAGTAATTCTGAGCAAATGAGTGACTGTGACATAAGGGCCACACCCTTCCTCTTCCTCCCTTATTACCTGTTCTTTCTGTCACATCTGAATAAGTTATAACCTGGGATCCATATTTCCTTATCAAAGTGATCCTTTATGTGGGTCTCTGTGAAAGCCACAAACATTCCATTTGACTCTGTGAGCAGTCAACTGATGAAAGGTATTTTGTTGTTTGTTGATAGCTTTACACCCTGTATATTTGCAGAGATAACTGTTGTACTGATTGTCTGTAACAACATAATTGTTCACAAGAACATAATTGCTGTAAGAAACATAAGACTGTTTGAAAGAACATAATTGGAAATAAATGGTATAAAATACCGACACAATGGAAATAAAAACACAAATGCAGTATAATGTGATCCTTTATTGACAACGTTTCACCCACACAGTGGGCTTTTTCAAGTCACACACGGATCTACCTGGGGTTGGAAGGTACGGGAGTATTTATAGTCATGTTCAGAATGTTGAGGTCAGGTGGAGAATGCTGCATCTGATGATCTACCGGGTGGGGTTATAGAGTCTTGGGTAGCTTAGGCAGGGGTATTGGACAAGTTGTGAGTAGACCTTCTGCAGTGTTCTATGTTCTTATGTGGGATAGCGATGAAGAAGTTTCTTGGCGAGTGGTTCAGCTATGTTATAGAAGCCATTGTTCTGGTTGAAATTGTTGGTTATAGAGATAAGCGATGATTCCAGGATTCTTCTGTATTGAGTGTTGTCTTCTGTGGCTATAAGTCTTGAGTTTCTGTAGTTAATTAAATGGTTGTGTGAATTGCGATGTTGTACACAGGCATTCCTTGTATCGTCAGTCCTGCTTGCATATTGGTGTTCTGAAATACGTGTTTGCAGGTCTCTTGATGTTTCGCCCACATATAATTTGTTGCAGTCATTACAAGGGATTATGTATACCCCTGCAGAGGATGGAGGCTTGTCCTGTCTACTACTGGTGATGTCCTTGATGGTCGTGGTTGTGGAGGTAGATACTTGGAATGATGTTTTGGCAAAGATGTTGGAAACATGTTTGCAATGGAGTTGGTGGGAAGGACTATGTATCTCTTCTCGGCAGTGTCTTCTCTGGGTGTGTTGAAGATGTTTAATGCCGCCGTCTGCAGTCTCTGATGAAGTGATGAGGATAGTGGAGTTTAGAAAATACTTGTTCAATTATAGTGCATTCTTCCTCAAGGAACTCGTTGCTGCAGATTCTGAGTGCACGCAGGAAGAAGCCTATAATTACACCACGTTTGGCTTTTGGTGTCGTGGTTAGAGTAGAAGTGGAGAAGATCGTTTTGGTTGGTGGGTTTTCGATAGACTTTAAAACGAAGTTCGTGGTCAGCTTTGCAGAGCAGACCCCAGACCTGCCAGAATGTACGGCCTGCCAAAGACTCACAAGCCTGGTATCCCACTGAGGCCCATATCCTCGGGAATAGGCAGTGCTCCCCACCAGCTCTCAGGAATTCTCGCCAAACACCTCTCTAAACTCTTGGGCACTATCAGTCCAGCACATCTCAAACACTCAGGTGATCTTCTCAATCGCATTCGCAACATCAACATCAGGAACAAGAAACTTTCCAGCCTTGACGTGACTTCCCTATTCACCAAAGTACCTACACACAAGCCATCGATCTCTTGCGCAGGAAAATTGACGATTCACTTGATCTTCCCATTCCAGCCAGTGATTTCATCGACCTTGTTGAACTATGTGTTGGCTTTACGTGTTTCTCTTTCGAAAATCACCTCTTTCAGCAGACTTTTGGACTACCCATGGGTTCGCCACTCAGTGCAGTCCTGGCGAACCTATACATGGAACATCTAGAAGCCGAACGTTTCTCCACCATTATTCCTTCGTCTGTCACCTGGCTCCGTTATGTTGACGACATTCTCCTCATAACTCCTAAACGCTTCAACGTTCAAGCTCTCCAAGACAAGCTCAACCAGGTCGAGCCTTCAATCCAGTTCACACTTGAAGAAGAAGTCGACAACACTCTTTCCTTTCCTTGATGTTCTGCTCTGCAAAGCTGACCACGAACTTCGTTTTAAAGTCTATCGAAAACCCACCAACCAAAACGATCTTCTCCACTTCTACTCTCACCACGACACCAAAACGCAAACGTGGTGTAATTATAGGCTTCTTCCTGCGTGCACTCAGAATCTGCAGCAACGAGTTCCTTGAGGAAGAATGCACTATAATTGAACAAGTATTTTCTAAACTCCACTATCCTCGTCACTTCATCAGAGACTGCAGACGGCGGGCATTAAACATCTTCAACACACCCAGAGAAGACACTGCCGAGAAGAGATACATAGTCCTTCCCACCAACTCCATTGCCAAACATGTTTCCAACATCTTTGCCAAAAACATCATTCCAAGTATCTACCTCCACAACCACGACCATCAAGGACATCACCAGTAGTAGACAGGACAAGCCTCCATCCTCTGCAGGGGTATACATAATCCCTTGTAATGACTGCAACAAATTATATGTGGGCGAAACATCAAGAGACCTGCAAACACGTATTTCAGAACACCAATATGCAAGCAGGACTGACGATACAAGGAATGCCTGTGTACACAACATCGCAATTCACACAACCATTTAATTAACTACAGAAACTCAAGACTTATAGCCACAGAAGACAACACTCAATACAGAAGAATCCTGGAATCATCGCTTATCTCTATAACCAACAATTTCAACCAGAACAATGGCTTCTATAACATAGCTGAACCACTCGCCAAGAAACTTCTTCATCGCTATCCCACATAAGAACATAGAACACTGCAGAAGGTCTACTCACAACTTGTCCAATACCCCTGCCTAGCTACCCAAGACTCTATAACCCCACCCGGTAGATCATCAGATGCAGCATTCTCCACCTGACCTCAACATTCTGAACATGACTATAAATACTCCCGTACCTTCCAACCCCAAGTAGATCCGTGTGTGACTTGAAAAAGCCCACTGTGTGGGTGAAACGTTGTCAATAAAGGATCACATTATACTGCATTTGTGTTTATATTTCCAAAGAACATAATTGTTTGTATGAACATAATTGCTTGTAAGAACATAATTGTAAGAATATAATTGTTTGAAAGAATATAACTGTTTGTAAGTATGTAAATGTTTGTAGAAAGAACATATTTGTTTGTTCTTCAGGCGTCCAGAGCAGAGAAAGTGTGGGTATCCTTCTGTGTTCACCATGAGAGTGAAGGATGGCTGGAGTTCTATGAGAACAGACGTTCAGCTTTCAGTCATAACCCCATGTACAGAACATCACTGAACAGATGCTTGCACGTCTCACCAGCCATACGTGTTCACCAGGACAATGAACACGTGTTCGCTATAACCATGGAGACAGAGGTTATCAAACTTGGTGCACAGAACAGGTTAGTTGGTACACCATGCACTGGTGCACTCTGGCATTAGATTAGTCAACTCTATGATATGTTAGGCACTCTGGCACTAAGTACACTCTCTGGTAAATGTTTTGAACTCTGGCACTAAGTTAGTACACTCCCTGGTAAATGTTTTGAACTCTGGCACTAAGTACACTCTCTGGTAAATGTTTTGAACTCTGGCACTAAGTTAGTACACTCTCTGGTAAATGTTTTGAACTCTGGCACTAAGTACACTCTCTGGTAAATGTTTCGAACTCTGGCACTACGTTAGTACACTCTCTGGTAAATGTTTTGAACTCTGGCACTAACTTAGTACACTCTCTGGTAAATGTTTTACACTTTGACACTAAGTTAGTACACTCTCTGGTAAATGTTTTACACTCTGACACTAAGTTAGTACACTCCCTGGTAAATGTTTTACACTCTGACACTAAGTTAGTACACTCTCTGGTAAATGTTTTACACTCTGACACTAAGTTAGTGCACTCTCTGGTAAATGTTTTACACTCTGACACTAAGTTAGTACACTCTCTGGTAAATGTTTTACACTCTGACACTAAGTTAGTACACTCTCTGGTAAATGTTTTACACTCTGACACTAAGTTAGTACACTCTCTGGTAAATGTTTTACACTCTGACACTAAGTTAGTACACTCTCTGGTAAATGTTTTCAACTCTGGCACTAAGTTAGTACACTCTCTGATAAATGTTTTACACTCTGACAATAGGTTGGTAAACAGAAGCCTGGCACTAAAACATTTCCCATGCTTCAGAGAACAGATGCTGGAGTGGATAGATGCCCTCAGGACCCGCCTGAGAGAATTAGGTGTTCTGACACCTAAGGACAATCTATACAGCAGGGAACCTGAGTCTCTGAGGTCGCCCCTACTGAGGAATCCTAATTCCCCTCTCCCACCGACACCTACTGCCTTCCACTTCCCTCCACATGCGCTGGAATTCAGAGGTATGCCTATATGGAATGTTTCATGGCCTCGTAACTTTACTGGGAACGAATATGTTGAGATTTAAATAGAAGTAGGTACCTGAATATTAGTGGACTGTTATGGGGTAGCATCCTGGGGGGAGGACTTTTGTCCACACTAGCAATAAGCCACAATCCTTGGTTTTCTTGGATTAACCTGGGTTAACCCTCCCAGATCAATAACGGCAGGAAAATCTACATCTACTGCTACTCTCCCTGCTAGAACAACTAGGTGCACAGGCTCTAGGTTGTAGAACACCTAGACTGGCTCTAGTAAACATAACATCAGCACACCTTTACAGCTGAACTAACATGACTCATTTTTTCTTTAGAATTACGAACACAGGTAAATAATGGCCTGTGAGACCTGGTCATTATGGGAAATAAAGCAAACAAAACTCAACAGTAGACTATAATTTATATATGCCTTCACCAGATGGTATATACAAGTATGTACACTATGTACAATATGTATAGATAGAATAATAAGTGTACACCACAGTGACAGATGGCAAAGCAGAAGCCAGAGAGTGTGCACTGTGCTCAACCAGCAGCTAGGCGTCTCTCTTGATTTTGTGGCTGGCGCCACTTGGGGTACTGACATTGTTGTTCACCAGGTTGACTGTGAGTTTGATGTCGTTGCTCACCAGACGACTTAGTTGGTTGGCATCGTTGTTCACTTTCAGCCTGCCACTTCGTCCTCTAGTCAGGGAATCATTCATGACGATCTATATTCATGCCAGGCTGTTGGGAAAAAGAATTAGACAGCTCGGACAAGGAGCGATTGGCGTCAAATGCAGGAGCCAACCTGGCTGCTTCTAATGGAGCAGTCAACAAATGATCTTCACGGCTTTAACCTCTGGTCCAACAGATTCCAGCAGATTATCCACTAAAAGTAACTGCACCAAGTCGGAGTAATTGACGACTTAGTCAATTTGTGAAATTTTTGAACTGCTGCCTTACAAAGTCTACATGAGACTGACCCAGCTGACACTTGCACAATCTGAATTCTCCTCTGTACTTGGCGGGAATACACTGATATGCCCCAAGAACCGTTGTTTTAACAACTTGATAATCAGCAAAATCTTCATCATCCAAAACAGCTGTGAACTCCTATGCTTTGCCATACAATGCTGTATGCACAAGTTCTGCCCAATGCTCCCCAGGCCACCTCAGTGCAAGAGCCTGGTTTTCAAATGCCTCGAAAAACTGTTCAGGCCTGGACTCAACAAAGCGAGGTACTACTGCCTCCTGCACAAAAGTTGTAATCAAGCCTGCTTAAATTGCCTCCTCTCCTTCTCTCTATCAGACTCCTTTTTTGCAAATGCACGTTGCTCTCTGGTTGTTTCAAGACTGAGTTTAGCTAACTCAAGCATCACTGAAGCTGACTCACCCTGAGAAAAACCCGGTGCACCACCTGCTTCACAAGACTGCTGGTCTGATTGCTCTGGTGTTGGCCCTCCAACATTACAAAGGAACCTAAGTGGAGATCAGCAATTAATAGCTCCTGTAGCAGGAGATACCTCAGTTTGGTGCACCATAGTTGCTTCAACCTTTAATTTAGTACGAATAGCATCACGAGGCTACACAGCAGTAAGATTTCATTGGTATTCTATGCCAATGGAACAAGCAATTCAACAGCAAAGCTGTAGAGATAGCTTGGGTAGATTAAGTAGAGTATACTCAGACACCAACTGCCTCACCCATTTTGGTGGCATAACCCACTATAAAGCGTTATTTGCAATGCATTCAACAAGCAGCAATAGCACAGTATGACTTGCAGGATACACACACAGTAGCAGGACTGACAGACAATACAAAAAAGCAATAGCAAGGCAATCTGAAAAATACCAAGACCAGCTCTAGCTCCAGTTCCAGCTCCAGTTCCTGGACAGAGCTCCCATATTACGACCAGGTCTCACAGGCCATTCTTTACTTGTATTAGTAATATTTAGTGTCTCCTATTATCTCTGCTAGGAAAGCAGCTAGGAACTCTAGATTTCTAGAGATACTATGGTACCTATTATTCTATCACCACAGAGGATGCCAGCAGTCTACACTCGATGCGTGTTGGTCTGAGTCCGGCTGGGTCTATGACCCTCTCTACAGCCTCTGGTCTCTCAGCCATGTCGGCCTTGTCTTCCATGCAAAGCCTCAACTCAGTGTCATCAGGTTCTGACCCTAACACCTCACCTTCCTCTGTCGTCACCTACGTCAGGCACCACCATGACCCTTCTCTAAACAGGTAAGCATCTAATATATCCTTACCAACAGGTGCTAAACCCTCAGAGGCTCTGCAAGCACCCAGTTAATGTGACATAATTGCTCATCTCTTTTAGGAGGTCATCGTTCAGAGCGTCGCTTCCTAGTTCACCCACTACACCCTCCACTACTGCTGCCTCCCTCACCTTCCTCAGGTCTCCTCCAGGTCCACAGGTAAGCCACCTACCTCTAAAATTACACCAGGTCCACAGGTAAGCCAGGTTTGTAGGTAACCCAGCTCGCATATTTTTTAGCTCCCCAACATGGGGAACTATTCTAAGCTCCACAAGTTGGTAGATAAGAATAGTTCCTAAGTTGGACTTACTGGATATTCCTCCTTACTGCTCTCACCTAGCCGTGCTTCATTGTGCTCCGGGTTTTCTCGTGTTTTTACGGTCACTCTTACGTGCTAGAACTATAATTTGTGTCATCAATCCTATACGATACATCCCTCTAGCGCCTGGAACCAATCTTGGGCGGAAAACATTATATACTGAGTCAAAAAGGGAGAATTAGTGTGCACTACCTAGAAGAGTTTACTGCCAGAGGGGAATCATAGGCCTGTGTCCTGTGTGGAAAATATAATAATAATTGAACTTTTCGTGTCAGAGGAAAGAAAGTCTCCCTGATAACATTGAGTATACATAGTGTATAGCGTATACTACAGTGGCTCCCTAGTCATTTGAAAACAGGTGAATTTGTAAATGAAGTGATAAGCCTATAGAGGCAGGTGCCAGAAGTCGCCAGAAACTTACCACAGGTCAGCTGTTTTAATAATCTTCCTGGCTTGCTAGTGTACTCGCATATAATCTAGTGATACCAGTGAATAGCAGAATACAGTGTTGTAGTAGCAACTAACCAGTATTATAATGGTACTTAGTGGAGTGGAGTGACTTTCATTAGTTTCTTTTTTCTTGAAATACCAGACGTATACAGTGGACCCCCGAGTTAACGATATTTTTTCACTCCAGAAGTATGTTCAGGTGCCAGTACTGACCGAATTTGTTCCCATAAGAAATATTGTGAAGTAGATTAGTCCATTTCAGACCCCCAAACATACACGTACAAACGCACTTACATAAATACACTTACATAATTGGTCGCATTCGGAGGTAATCGTTATGCGGGGGTCCACTGTACTGTGAATTTCATATAACCTGTAGTTACCAGCGGTCGCAATATACACAATGAGAAGCAAATATTACTACAGAAAAAGAGTCCTTCCTCCAAAATTTCCACCAGTCAACTATAGTGATAATATAGCATTTATTGTGGTGGAGACGGAAAAAAAACAATAGAAAAGCTAGATACAGCGATTGATAAACAAGGGTTGAGGTCGACCGTTCGTCACTGTAGGAGCTGCCAGCAGTCACCGGCTCTTCAACACGCAAGTTATACTTTTGTATCAATCAAATCACATATTACTCAGGTAGATAATTTCCAGTAGATCCTTCATGTGTTAGCTCAAATCACCGACCAGTATGTTTTAAATAAGCGATCACTGATCAGATCAGATCGACTGGTCCGAACCCTTGACTGGTCCGAACCCTTGACTGGTCCGAACCCTTGACTGGTCTCAAACGGTTTCGTTGGACAATAAAGCAGACTGTAAACGGATGGGGTTGTAGGCGCCCTTATAAACACAAACATTAAATATATATCAGGAACGTGCACAGTAAGCTGTCCAATATACAAAAACAGTTAGAAACAGAAATACAAATAACTAGAGCTTCATTTAAGGAGGTTATTAATAGAATATTCAAGAGGTTGCTAGTAGAATTGCAGTAAATCAACCATTCAAATCATTATGAAGCTGTGTGTAGTCTGTGGTCAGTCAAACAAACGGGCTTCCACATTGATAAATTGTCATTTTTGTGGAAATTGGTGTCACGCCCCTTGTGCAGATATCCAAGAACTAGCTACAAGCAGTATTAAAACAGGGAAATGCTTTTGGGTATGCCCGAATGAGATAAATCTGTGGACTAAAATCACAAGGGTATTAAAAGAGGACAACATCAAAGCTGCTTTCATAGAAAACCTTGAAGCTTTCTACAACAGATGGGAACATAAAAAGTCTGGGCTGAATGGTACTGCCCTTGATACTGGCCATGTAGTCAGAAACTGTAAGGCTGGAGATGAAGTCCTGGTAGTCAGTAAATGTGGGGCTGATAGTGCTGTCCTGGGAGACAGTAATGGTGAAGCTGGAGGTGCTGTCCTGGGAGACAGTAATGGTGAAGCTGGAGATGCTGTCCTGGGAGACAGTAATGGTGAAGCTGGAGATTTTGTCCAGGTAGTCGGGAATTATACGCAGGAAGGAATACATATAAATGACCTCATAGGGGACAGGAGCCATAGTAGGGAAACAAGTGTAGTCAAAGATAAGATAAAACCAATATTGCAAACTAGAAATACCGCAGGAAATAGCAAACAAGAGGACTCCACTAGCAATAGTGAGGATATATTACCAAAAACAACTGGTGGGAGCTCCATTGTTGGTGCTAGGGAGGATAGAAGTAAGACAGGGAAACATGCACCAACAGGAAATACAGTCACAGAAACCCAAGGCAAATGGAAACCAAGCCTCTGCACATACTATGCACTTGGTATCTGCTGGCATGGGAAATCTGGAAAAACAGATGGGACGTGCAACTATGACCACCCTAGAAAATGCCATGCCCATATGACAACAGGAAAATGCAAACTCCCTTCCTGTAAGCTTTTTCACCCTGAACTGTGTACCTCTTCAGTACAGGAAAGACTGTGCTATAACTTAAATTGCCAGGCATACCATCTAAAGGGGACAAAAAGATACAAAACATCCAGGCCATGGGAAAACCTGGGTAGCCACAGCCACTCAAGAGGGAGAGGTTTTTTAGTGCCAGGAAGGAAAAAAAACTGGCAGGAAATGGCAGAAATCGTACACCAAATCCAGTCATTCCTGGAGTGGAACCACAGTCGATGGCCTCCACTCCAAGCCAACAGATACAGATACTAATGCCGGAAAAAAAATCCCCCCCAGTACCAACAATACCACCAGTCTGATAACATTCTTCTTTGCAAATATACAGGGTCTAAAGCCAGCAACAAACAACAAAATACCTTTCATCCGTGGACTGCTTGCAGAGGCAAAGGCAATGTTCGCGGTTTTCACTGAGACCCACATAAAGGATCACTTGGACAACGAAATATGGATCCCAGGTTACAACCTATACAGATGTAACAGAGTGAACAGGCAAAAGGGGGGGGTTGGCCTGTACATTGCAGAGTCACTTGTTTGCACAGAACTGCTTAATGCCTCAAATGATGTAGTGGAAGTTTTAGCAGTAAAGGTCGAGAACCAAAACCTAGTCATTGTGGTAGTCTACAAGCCTCCGGATGCAACATCCCAGCAATTCCAGGAACAGCTGTTAAAAATTGACCACTGTCTGGAAAATCTTCCAGCACCTGCACCCAACATCTTGCTCCTGGGGGATTTCAACTTAAGGCACCTAAAATGGAGGAATATAGCAAATAATATTGTTGCAGTAATAACACCAGGAGGCAGCTCTGATGAAAACTCACACTCACACGAGCTTTTAAATCTCTGCACAAAATTCAATTTAAACCAGCAAATAATAGAGCCTACTAGACTGGAGAATACACTAGACCTCATCTTCACTAACAATGATGATCTGATAAATGTCACCATATCAAAAACAATATACTCAGATCACAACATAATTGAGGTTCAGTCATGTATGCGTGGAGCCCCAGACCGACATAATGAGACTAGTCACGAGGGAGCATTCACCAAATTCTACTTCAATAACAAAAACATAAAGTGGGACCAAGTAAACCAAGTCCTAACCGATATAAGCTGGGAAGATATACTAAGCAACACAGACCCCAACTTATGCCTAGAACAGATTAACTCGGTGGCACTCGATGTATGCACAAGGCTTATTCCTCTAAGAAAAAGGAGGAGTAGATGTAAAATGGTAAGAGACAGGCGCTCCCTTTACAGGCGATGGAAAAGAATAACAGAGCGGCTAAAAGAGGTCAATATATCTGAAATGCGTAGGGAGACACTGGTCAGAGAAATAGCAAGCATCGAACTTAAGCTAAAAGAATCCTTTAGGAGTCAGGAATCGCGGGAAGAACTAAAAGCCATAAATGAAATCGAAAGAAACCCAAAGTATTTCTTCTCCTATGCCAAATCAAAATCGAGAACAACGTCCAGTATTGGGCCCCTACTTAAACAAGATGGGTCCTACACAGATGACAGCAAGGAAATGAGTGAGCTACTCAAGTCCCAATATGACTCAGTTTTTAGCAAGCCGCTAACCAGACTGAGAGTTGAAGATCAAAATTAATTTTTTATGAGAGAGCCACAAAATTTGATTAACACAAGCCTATCCGATGTTATCCTGACGCCAAATGACTTCAAACAGGCGATAAATGACATGCCCATGCACTCTGCCCCAGGGCCAGACTCATGGAACTCTGTGTTCATCAAGAACTGCAAGAAGCCCCTATCACGAGCCTTTTCCATCCTATGGAGAGGGAGCATGGACACGGGGGTCGTCCCACAGTTACTAAAAACAACAGACATAGCCCCACTCCACAAAGGGGGCAGTAAAGCAACAGCAAAGAACTACAGACCAATAGCACTAACATCCCATATCATAAAAATCTTTGAAAGGGTCCTAAGAAGCAAGATCACAACCCATCTAGAAACCCATCAATTACACAACCCAGGGCAACATGGGTTTAGAACAGGTCGCTCCTGTCTGTCTCAACTATTGGATCACTACAACAAGGTCCTAAATGCACTAGAAGACAAAAAGAATGCAGATGTAATATATACAGACTTTGCAAAAGCCTTCGACAAGTGTGACTATGGCGTAATAGCGCACAAAATGCGTGCTAAAGGAACAACAGGAAAAGTCGGTTGATGGATCTATAATTTCCTCATTAACAGAACACAGAGAGTAGTCGTCAAAAGAGTAAAGTCCGAGGCAGCTACGGTGAAAAGCTCTGTTCCACAAGGCACAGTACTCGCTCCCATCTTGTTCCTCATCCTCATATCCGACATAGACAAGGATGTCAGCCACAGCACCGTGTCTTCCTTTGCAGATGACACCCAAATCTGCTTGACAGTGTCTTCCATTGCAGACACTGCAAGGCTCCAGACGGACATCAACCAAATCTTTCAGTGGGCTGCAGAAAACAATATGAAGTTCAATGATGAGAAATTTCAATTACTCAGATATGGTAAACATGAGGAAATTAAATCTTCATCAGAGTACAAAACAAATTCTGGCCACAAAATAGAGCGAAACACCAACGTCAAAGACCTGGGAGTGATCATGTCAGAGGATCTCACCTTCAAGGACCATAACATTATATCAATCGCATCTGCTAGAAAAATGACAGGATGGATAATGAGAACCTTCAAAACTAGGGGGGCCAAGCCCATGATGACACTCTTCAGGTCACTTGTTCTATCTAGGCTGGAATATTGCTGCACACTAACAGCACCTTTCAAGGCAGGTGAAATTGCCGACCTAGAAAATGTACAGAGAACTTTCACGGCGCACATAACGGAGATAAAACACCTCAATTACTGGGAGCGCTTGAGGTTCCTAAACCTGTATTCCCTGGAATGCAGGAGGAGAGATACATGATTATATACACCTGGAAAATCCTAGAGGGACTAGTACCGAACTTGCACACGAAAATCACTCACTACGAAAGCAAAAGACTTGGCAGACGATGCAACATCCCCCCAATGAAAAGCAGGGGTGTCACTAGCACGTTAAGAGACCATACAATAAGTGTCAGGGGCCCGAGACTGTTCAACTGCCTCCCAGCACACATAAGGGGGATTACCAACAGACCCCTGGCAGTCTTCAAGCTGGCACTGGACAAGCACCTAAAGTCAGTTCCTGATCAGCCGGGCTGTGGCTCGTATGTTGGTTTGCGTGCAGCCAGCAGCAACAGCCTGGTTGATCAGGCTCTGATCCACCAGGAGGCCTGGTCATAGACCGGGCCGCGGGGGCGTTGACCCCTGGAACTCTCTCCAGGTAAACTCCAGGTAAACTGCTTTCAGAGCAGAGATTACTGCTTGAAAGAACTTCCTGCTTCCAAAGAACCTACTGCTTCCAAAGAACCTACTGCTTGCAAAGAATCTACTGCTTGCAAAGCAGGGACTGTTTGCTTTCACAAGACTGTTGTTTATCTGTGGTCCAATTACACACACACACATATATATGTGTGTGTGTGTGTGTGTGTGTGTGTGTGTGTGTGTGTGTGGTGTGTGTGTGTGTGTGTGTGTGTGTGTGTGTGTCTGTGTCTGTGTGTGTGTGTGTGTGTGTGTGTGTGTGTGTGTGTGTGTGTGTGTGTGTGTGTGTGTGTGTGTGTGTGCGCATCAATAACAGCCCCACACAGCACGTTTCAACAGCACTGCACAGGCACACGCAGGAGACCACTAAGGCACACGTCTGAGAATGCCTGCCTGAGGTTTGAGGAATAGAATGTGATGCTACAGTCAAAAGTAAGGTCGAAAACTGGTGCACCAGCTCATCAATAGAGGATGAAGAAGGGTCCTCAGATAAAGCAGTAAGATGAGATTATAAGTCCCAATTTCCTCGTCGAAATTAATTATAATAATAATTATAATAATAATTTATTTTGACATGATACATAGTTGTACAAAGGAATGTAATACATAACTGGGTGTACATGCCAAAAGCCCCTTTGTATGCAGAACATTTTGGGCAAACTTAAAATTAACTTAAGATTAATAAGATAATAACAGTTCATATGGTCATTAGATGAGTTACGAGTACAAGACAAATGAGTATTATCAGGTATTATCTAGTACAGAAATTCAGTACAGAATAATTACAATATTCAATTACTTTAATAAAAATTACAATAGAACAATTTAAAATAATTTACAATATGATGTACAGTGGAACCTCGGTTTTCGTGATTAATTCGTTCCAGAAAGTCTGATGAAAACCGAATTGCACGAAAACTGAAGCAATATTTCCCATAAGAAATAATGTAAATTCAGTTAATCCGTTCCACACACCCAAAAATATTAACAAAAAATACATTTTATAGAGAATAACTATAGTTTTACATACAGAAAACAATGAGAAATAAATATAAATGACTAATGAAATGGATAAATGAACATTTAACATCACTTTTACCCTTTATTGAAGACTTTTGTTTGCATATGGAAGACGGCGAGGAGGGGAGAGGGAGGAGGAGAGGTTATTGTTTGGAAGGGAAATCCCCTTCCATTAGGACTTCAGGTATCAGGGCCCTATCCAGGGGTACTTCCCTTCTTTGTCTTTTACTGGCACTAGGACCAGCTTGAGAGTCACTGTACCCCTGTGGCACAACATCACTTTTACCCTTTATTGAAGGCTTTTGTTTGCATATGGAAGACGGCGAGGAGGGGAGAGGGAGGAGGAGAGGTTATTGCTTGGAAGGGAAATCCCCTTCCATTAGGACTTCAGGTATCAGGGCCCTATCCAGGGGTACTTCCCTTCTTTGTCTTTTACTGGCACTAGGACCAGCTTGAGAGTCACTGTACCCCTGTGGCACAAAAAATCTGTCCAGAGAGGTTTGTTTCTGGCATCTCTTTAAGATTTGCCTAAAATGGAACAAGGCATTGTCAATGAACATGTTGCAAATACGGCTTGCAACAGTTTTGTTAGGTTGCCAATAGGATGCAGTAACAAAAAGGGGCCTGGGAGGAGGAGGGTTATCACGGAACGAAGACTCCATGAAAGAAAAAAAAAAGAAAAGAAAGGGACAGTGGAGGGACAATCACTAGAAGGTATGAAAGGGTCGTAAGTTCCTCCACTTATCTGAGAGGACCTTGAGACCACCAGCAGTGCAGATGCAGCGTGGAACCCGTGTCATACCCTACCCTTCATCCCGGTAAACCAGCGCTCTGGGATAGCAACCTCGCATCTACCGAGCCACCTCGGCAGACAAAAGGAAGGGTGGTTGGAAACCCACCACAAAGCATAACTCCTTTGGCTGCCACCTCCCAGAACTGACAGGTAGCCTCTGGAGATACATCCATCACCTGCAGGACACCCTGCCTCACCCCCCAGAAATCCGGGAAGGGAGCAGGGCACCTCCGATAATCCAGATTCTACGGCAAACTACACCACACCCAAGAAACTCCATAGAGCAGGATGAACCCTGGTACACTTCACCCCATCTAGAAGCTGTAATGATAGAGGGGACCACCCCAGAGGCTACAAACAGGATGAGGAAAAGGGAAGGTTGGGAGGGGAGAGGAAAGGGAAAAGGGGGAATGGGGAGGATGGGATAGGGAAGGGGAGATTGGGGGGGGGGTAATTAGGTTCGGTCTGAGGAAAGAGACCAAAAGGTCTAATTCCTCAAACCAAGAGCCTCTTCACCATGCCAAGAACCCCCATTGAAGAGGAGTGTTGTGTTAACCTTCATATTCTTCTCCAAGTCTCCTGTTGTTTAGCAGAGGGTTGTATATTCTGGAAATTAGTTTTGTGGTGGTTGATTGATGCAGTATTGTTATGCAGGTGTCACCCGCAGCAGCAGCAGCAGTGAGAGAGCATGTCACTGTCATCAACGTACCATCAACTACTTCAGTGTTCAGCTTCGACAGTGTCGGTGCGGCACTAGAGTCCAGTGGTGCCATGGCCAACTCTGAGCTTTACGGTGCTGTCTACCCCACCGACCCAACCCTTGCTGGCTCCACCGATGCCCTCGACATGGTTGGGGACCCGACTTACTCCCTTGCTGACCCTAATGCTGTACACCTCAGGGTGGGTAATTCTCTAGGGGCAGCAGGGCGGCCCCCGCTCCCCCCAGGCCAGCGGGCCAGTGGGTACGGTGGACTGTGTGGCACTCCTGGCATCAGTGCTTATGGCAGTTCTGCAAGTGCCTCTGGTCTTGCTAGTGGTGCTTATGGTGGTGCTGCAAGTCCCTCTGGCATCGCTGGTGGTGCTGCAAGTGCCTCTGGCATCGCTAGTAGTGCTTATGGTGGTGCAACAGGTGGATCCAGTATGGCTCCCTCTGGCGGTGCTTACAGTGGTGCTGCCGCTGCCGGCAGTGGTGGAAGCTGGAGCAACGTGAACCTGGATGAGGGTTCATATGAAGCACTCTTCCTGGCCAGTAGTATGCCGCCCATGTTGCCACCCACCTCACCGCCCACACTGCCACAGGCACCACAGACTGGACTACTCCGGCGTCGCTCTGAACAGCGACGCTCAGGACGACGTGACCACGGACGTCGCGCAGCTTCTGTAGGTCCCTCCATCACTCCCAAACAGCCACAACAACCACAACAACAACAACCACAACAACAACCACAACAGCAACAACAACAACAACAGGTACGTATTCTCCAAGCTATACTTAAAAAATGCTCATGTTCTGACATATGAGAATTATTACTCTGCAGCTTCATGTTTAGGTATGGAATGGTCAAAAATATTACCTGCTTGTTTCAGCAACAGCAGCAGCAGCAGCAGCAGTTCCAGGTGGGGCAGGATGGCAGGTTAATGAGTCTGAGAGAACAACAGGTGGTGAGGCTACAGAGAGAGATATCTCACCAGGCTGGTGTTAGACTCACTCTAAGAAAGAAAGACTGCTCTAATTCTGTGGCTTTTGTTAATATATGTAACCAGGTCAGTCTCACTTTAACTCTCTCACTCTAACACTCACTCACTCTCTCTCTCTCTCTCTCTCTCTCTCTCTCTCTCTCCCTCTCTCTCTATCTCTCTCTCTCTATCTCTCTCTCTCTCTCTCTCGTTATTACTGTATATGTGTACAAGTGTATATGTGCATGTGTGTACAATATTACAGGTGTACATGAGTAAAGAGACATATATGGTTGTACAAGAGGTGTACATGAGTGTAAAAGAGGTATACATGAGTGTACAAGAGGTGTCCAGGAGTGTACAAGAGGTATACATGAGTGTACGAGAGGTGTTCAGGAGTATACAAGAGGTGTACACAGGTGTACAAAGATATACATGAGTATACAAGAGGTGTACATGGGTGTATACGAGGTGTCCAGTATACAAAAGGTGTACACGGGTGTACAAGAGATGTAGACGAGTGAACAAGAGGTGTACATGGGTGTACAAGAGGTATTGAGGAGTATACAAGAAGTGTACATAGGTGTATAAGAGATGTACATGAGTAACCAAGAAGTGTACATGCATATACAAGAGATGTACATGAGTAAACAAGAGGTATACACTAGTAAACAAGGTGTACAATATTACAGGTTTATGTGGCCGGCTGGAAGCAACGTGAACACCCCTACCTTCACAACACCTTCCACATAGGTGATAGGTTGCTCAGTGTGTCTGGTGTACCTATCACCACAGCTGCTGACGTACACACCATCATCAAAAACGAGTCTACGCCTATGGTTAGTACCTATTTCTTACCTTAGTTGGCATTTGTACCTATTTACAGGCCATAGGTAACACCTATGGCCTTGTAATGGGTTCATACCTATTTCTATTACATCTGTATTAACATTGATGCTACAATAATAGATGACATCTGTACCTATTACGTACCTGTCAACAGTAAGGTTTGAACATAATTTCTAAAATAACATTATCAAGAATGAACATATAGGTTAGTACCTACTTTCTGTCACAGGTGAGGTCTGTACCTATTAATATGCCATAGATAAAAGTTAGAACCCATGTTAGTGTACTTATTAAGTTACAGTTATAGTCAGTATCTGAGTATACCTTATCCCTGTCACAGGTGATATCTGTACCTATTTACCTGCCACAGGTAGTAATGAGTGATGTTTTGCCCCCTCAGGTTGAGTTCATAATAAGAAGAGTTCCTTATGGCAAGGTGTTCGCTCTTAAGAGACAAACAGAGGGACAGACTCTTGGTTTATTACGAGAGGGCAATACTGCTGAGATAAGAGAGGTAATAGTGTAAGAGAGAGCAATACTGCTGAGATAAGAGAGGTAATAGTGTAAGAGAGAGCAATACTGCTGAGATAAGAGAGGTAATAGTGTAAGAGAGAGCAATACTGCTGAGATAAGAGAGGTAATAGTGTGAGAGAGAGAGCAATACTGCTGAGATAAGAGAGGTAATAGTGTAAGAGAGAGCAATACTGCTGAGATAAGAGAGGTAATAGTGTAAGAGAGAGCAATACTGCTGAGATAAGAGAGGTAATAGTGTAAGAGAGAGCAATACTGCTGAGATAAGAGAGGTAATAGTGTGAGAGAGAGAGCAATACTGCTGAGATAAGAGAGGTAATAGTGTAAGAGAGAGCAATACTGCTGAGATAAGAGAGGTAATAGTGTAAGAGAGAGCAATACTGCTGAGATAAGAGAGGTAATAGTGTAAGAGAGAGAGCAATACTGCTGAGATAAGAGAGGTAATAGTGTAAGAGAGAGCAATACTGCTGAGATAAGAGAGGTAATAGTGTAAGAGAGAGAGCAATACTGCTGAGATAAGAGAGGTAATAGTGTAAGAGAGAGCAATACTGCTGAGATAAGAGAGGTAATAGTGTAAGAGAGAGCAATACTGCTGAGATAAGAGAGGTAATAGTGTAAGAGAGAGAAATACTGCTGAGATAAGAGAGGTAACAGTGTAAGAGAGAGCAATACTGCTGAGATAAGAGAGAGAAATACTGCTGAGATAAGAGAGGTAATAGTGTAAGAGAGAGCAATACTGCTGAGATAAGAGAGGTAATAGTGTAAGAAGAGGCAATACTGCTGAGATAAGAGAGGTAATAGTGTAAGAGAGAGCAATACTGCTGAGATAAGAGAGGTAATAGTGTAAGAGAGAGAAATACTGCTGAGATAAGAGAGGTAACAGTGTAAGAGAGAGCAATACTGCTGAGATAAGAGAGAGAAATACTGCTGAGATAAGAGAGGTAATAGTGTAAGAGAGAGCAATACTGCTGAGATAAGAGAGGTAATAGTGTAAGAGAGATCAATACTGCTGAGATAAGAGGTAACAGTGTAAGAGAGCAATACTGCTGAGATAAGAGATAATAGTATAAGAGACAGCAATACTGCTGAGATAAGAGAGGTAACAGTGTAAGAGAGAGAAATACTGCTGAGATAAGAGAGGTAACAGTGTAAGAGAGAACAATACTGCTGAGATAAGAGAGGTAATAGTGTAAGAGAGATCAATACTGCTGAGATAAGAGAGGTAACAGTGTAAGAGAGAGCAATACTGCTGAGATAAGAGAGGTAACAGTGTAAGAGAGAACAATACTGCTGAGATAAGAGAGGTAATAGTGTAAGAGAGATCAATACTGCTGAGATAAGAGAGGTAACAGTGTAAGAGAGCAATACTGCTGAGATAAGAGATAATAGTATAAGAGACAGCAATACTGCTGAGATAAGAGAGGTAACAGTGTAAGAGAGAGCAATACTGCTGAGATAAGAGAGGTAACAGTGTAGAGAGAGAGAGCAATATGCTGAGATAAGAGAGGTAACAGTGTAAGAGAGAGCAATACTGCTGAGATAAGAGAGGTAATAGTGTAAGAGAGAGAAATACTGCTGAGATAAGAGAGGTAACAGTGTAAGAGAGAGCAATACTGCTGAGATAAGAGAGAGAAATACTGCTGAGATAAGAGAGGTAATAGTGTAAGAGAGAGCAATACTGCTGAGATAAGAGAGGTAATAGTGTAAGAGAGAGCAATACTGCTGAGATAAGAGAGGTAATAGTGTAAGAGAGATCAATACTGCTGAGATAAGAGGTAACAGTGTAAGAGAGCAATACTGCTGAGATAAGAGATAATAGTATAAGAGACAGCAATACTGCTGAGATAAGAGAGGTAACAGTGTAAGAGAGAGCAATACTGCTGAGATAAGAGAGGTAATAGTGTAAGAGAGATCAATACTGCTGAGATAAGAGAGGTAACAGTGTAAGAGAGATCAATACTGCTGAGATAAGAGAGGTAACAGTGTAAGAGAGCAATACTGCTGAGATAAGAGATAATAGTATAAGAGACAGCAATACTGCTGAGATAAGAGAGGTAACAGTGTAAGAGAGAGCAATACTGCTGAGATAAGAGAGGTAACAGTGTAAGAGAGAGAGCAATACTGCTGAGATAAGAGAGGTAACAGTGTAAGAGAGAGCAATACTGCTGAGATAAGAGAGGTAATAGTGTGAGAGAGCAATACTGCTGAGATAAGAGATGTAATAGTGTAAGAGAGAGCAATACTGGTGAGATAAGAGAGGCAATATTGTTGAGAGAGTAATACTGCTGAGATAAGAGAGGCAATATTGTTGAGAGAGTAATACTGCTGAGATAAGAGAGGCAATACTGTTGAGAGAGTAATACTGCTGAGATAAGAGAGGTAATAGTGTACTGCTGAGATAAGAGAGGTAACAGTGTAAGAGAGAGCATTACTGGTGAGGTAAGAGAGGTAATATTGTTGAGATAGCAATACTGCTGAGATAAGAGAGTTAATAGTGTACTGCTGAGATAAGAGAGGTAATAGTGTAAAAGGGAGCAATACTGCTGAGATAATAGTGTAAGAAAGAGCAATACTGCTGAGTTAAGAGTTGTGGTATTATTATTATTACAAGACTGGTCTACCAGTACAATAAGTAAAAGTTGACATTATTGGGACAGATAGTGGCAGGTGGCCTGGCAGCACAACACGGGGTACCCACCCGGGCACACACCATGGATGGTCTCTCTCTCTGCCCCTGGGTACTGACTGAGATCAACCACAGACCGCTCAACCTCTTCTTCAAGGTATAACTCTAAGTTGCACTCTGGCGACTGCAACTTCCAGTGTTTGTTGTGTAGTTTTGGTGGTAATGTGCATGTCTTTTGCCTGTTCTGTTTACATTATGTTTTATACACTGCTAACATATATGTGTGCTTGTAATACAGCTAACATGCAAGTGTGCTTGTAACACAGCTAACATATATGTGTGCTTGTAACACAGCTAACATGTATGTGTGCTTGTAACACAGCTAACATGTACATGTACTTGTAACACAGCTAACATGCAAGTGTGTTTGTAACACAGCTAACATGCATGTGTGTTTGTAATACAGCTAACATGAAAGTGTGCTTGTAACACAGCTAACATGCAAGTGTGCTTGTAACACAGCTAACATGCACGTGTGCTTGTAATACAGCTAACATGCAAGTGTACTTGTAACACAGCTAACATGCACATGTGCTTGTAGCACATCAATAGATCTAAACTTACTCCCAGTTCAGTACATCCACACTTACTACTGTGCAATCTATATCTACAGGGCCTTAAACTCTAATATCAACCTTGACCTAAAACACTTTCTTGATAGTTGTGACAGAACCCACAGGCATAACACCAGACACAAACATCTCTACGACATTCCCCGTGTCCGACTAAACCTTTACAAAAATTCAATGTATGTCAAAGGCCCTAAAATCTGGAATACCCTACCTGAGAACCCTAGAACTGCAGACACATTCATCACCTTCAAAACTACCATTAGAAAACTCTTATCTCCCCGATACACCCCGTCAACTAACTACACGAATTTCCACTGGTGGTTCACACTTACACTCACTCACTCATTTCACCATAAACAGAAATATTAATCTCAGTCTTAAAATAATGAATCCTGTGATACTCCCAAAAAAATGAAAACTATGTACTGTGCCAAAACAAAGCATTCACATTGCTAAACTCACAAACTAGTATTTAGTCACTTAGCCATAATACCAACTTACCTCATAATTTGTAATATTTTACAATTAAGAATAAAACTAAGTATGCCCGAAATGCCTAGCCATGCTAAGCGTTCTAGTGGTACACTCTGTAATCACAATTTTACTACATGTAAACCAAACAATAACCAAATTTCTGTAAACTCAGCATTGTAATCCTTATAGAGAATAAACTTTGAATTTGAATTTGTACTCTTAGCAGAGGACAGATTATGTTATACACAGCTAACATATGTATGTACTCTTAGCAGAGGACAGATTATGTTATACACAGCTAACATATGTATGTACTCTTAGCAGAGGACAGATTATGTTATACACAGCTAACATATGTATGTACTCTTAGCAGAGGACCGATTATGTTATACACAGCTAACATATGTATGTACTCTTAGCAGAGGATCGATTATGTTATACACAGCTAACATATACACTCAAAACAGAACACAATGTGTACAGATATATGTATGTATCTAAGATTTACATAAAAACATTCACTAATAATTGCTTCTGCTTCATTTGTCTTTTGTTTTTAATACAATGGAACCTCGGCTTACGAGTGCCCCAACATGCGAGTTTTTCAAGATACAAGCAGTCACTCAGTTGATTTTTTGCTTCCAGATGCGAGCGCAATTTCAAGATGCAAGCAGACCTCAAGGGAGGTTCCTTGATGCTGGTGAGGGGCTCTTGATCTTGATTTAGGGAATTGGATCTCAGTTGTTTGTTGGACTATCTTATTGAAACTTGGGCAATGTATGATGGAAAGATGCTTCTTAATGTACACCAAAAATGAAAGAAATCGGACCATAAATAATGGAGTTCACTTCTCAGCCATTAGCCGTCCCTTAGCTGTATATTTTCGTATAGTTTTTATGGCTGTGTTCTTGTTTTTTCAGTCTCATTTGATAGAATGGAAAAATATTTACATAAATAATTATGATTTTGATTGGTTTCACAACGAAAAGTACCTTGAAACTGAGCTCAAAGTAACAGAAATGTTTGATTCTTTGGCGATGTTCAAGAGTAAACAAATGACGTCACTGTCCAGTAGCTGTCCAACATGTCATTCCTATAAGCAGTCATAAATGGGTTGACGTTATTTATACAACTATTACAATAATGCAGTAGTCTTCTATTTTTTGTGTGAATAAAAATTACAAATGGTAAGCAAGAGTATTATTATAAGAATACGTATGTACTAATAAATAATAATAATAATAACAATACACCTACCATCCGACTTATGACCTGCTCGACATACAACCACTCGACTTACGACCATGTTTTTTATGCCAGATTTCTGGGAAAAAAACAAGTGTTTGTGTTGTACACAGTGTTTATCCTAAACCTTATGGTATGAAATACAGTACTAACAGCATAAAAAGTAAAGTAAAAAATGAAATACCAAAATAAAACAATAAAATAAAATCATTAAAAAAAGAGTGATGTTGATATTCAGTAGTAAAGTTCGACTTACGTCCATTCTGACTTATGACCGGTTGGTCGGAACCAAGCTTGGTTGTAAGTCGGATGGTACCTGTATGTATATAATAATTATATAATAATATACGTAATATAATAATATAAATTATTATCAGAATATGTACATACTAATAAATAATAATACTAATAATACTGTACATATAATAATAATAGTATAATAATATAATATAATAATACTAATACAATACGTATAATAATAATACACCTACCATGCGACTTACGACCGAGTTCGGTTCCGAGAAACCGGTCATAAGTCGAAATGGACGTAAGTCGAACTTTACTACTGAATATCAACATCACATTTTCGTGATGTTGGGCCACCCTGCCTTGGTGGGAATCAGCCAGTGTGATAATAAAAAAAAAAACATTTTTGTAATGACTTTATTTTATTGTTTTATTTAGGCATTTCATGTTTTACTTCACTTCTCACAGTGATAAACATCTACAGAGTTCCACAATCAAACATTAGCCAATTTAGTCAAAACCTAGGAAGTATGATAACTGATGCACGCATGAACAAAGATCACTTACTACTCTCAGGTGACTTCAATATAAATCTCCTGCAAGACCAGGACCCACACGTTACTGAATTCACAAACACAATGAGTAACTGCATGTTGCTACCAACAGTAACAAAACCTACAAGAGTTACGGAGACTAGTGTTTCCCTACTTGACCACATCTGGACCAACACCATATCCCCTTTAAAATCAGGCATAATTACAGATAATACCACAGACCACTACCCTACTTTCCTCATAACAACTCTTGGTAAATTACCCCAAGACACTACTAAAGTCACCTTCAGACTTTACAATGAGGCAGCCATTAATAACTTCACAACACACTAACAAACATTTACTGGCACACTGAGCTAGAAATCTATACAGATATTGACGAATGTTTTAATAATTTTCTAAAAAGACCCAATACCTCTATAACAAGCACTGCCCTAAAAAAAACTAAACAGATGACAGCTTAGAGACTGAACAGTCCCTGCTAACACCAAGCATTCTCCAAAACCATAAATACAAAACACCGATATGAAAAACAGTTACAGAATGGGTCACATAACCAGAGACCAACAAAACGTTACTCGTCAATCCTAACCAGCCTGATAAGAAGGGCAAAAAAATTGTATTATGAGAACAGATTATCCAACTTACGAGGTGAATAAAAAAGACCTTAAAACCCTTCAAAAATTCGGCAAAAAAAATTACAAATGCAAATAAAATTAGAAAAAATAACCCCAATAAAAAAAAGGAACCCAAATTTTTTTTACAAAAGGAAAATTTTGCCATAAATAACTGTCCCCCACCAAATGCCCCCACCAGGATAAAAACCATTTTCCCCCACAAACCTCAAGCCCCCTTTTTTACCCCTAAAAAAAAGCAAAGAAAAACCTTATTTAAAAAAAAAAGGGCCAATCTTCACCAACATTAAAAATTTTAAACAAATCCTTGTCCCCCCTTCCCCTCTTTCTTTCCCCCCCCATACAAAGGAAAACCAAAGGTTGAAATTACCAAACCAATTTTTTTTTTGAAAATTAACAAAAACAATACCCCTCCTCTCCCCAAACCAAAACCCCCCCAAATTTTGGGATTTACCAATAAAAAAAATATCATTATAAAACTAAAAACTAAACACTAAAAAAAAAAACCCCTTTCTTCATTTGTTACAAAGTTTTTACAATTTCCCCTACTTCCAAAAAATTTGCACACAGTAAAAAGGATTAACTAAATCCCCTAAAAAACCAATATTTTAACCAAATCAACCTTTTCCCGAAAAATTTTAAACAGTTGGGGTCCCACAAAGTTCCCGCCCCTTTTTTTCCCAAAAAAAAAGCCCTCCGGGCCCTTACCAAAACCCCACTTTTTCTACACCTATTTTCCCCCCAAAGCCCATGCTCCCCAAAATTAAAAACCAATTCAAAAAATATTACCAAAACAAAAATTTCAAAAATAAAAAAAACCACTACAGGGAACAACTACAATGTTCAAAAAAATAAACTTCACCACAAAACAACCAAAAAATTCTGGCCACCTTTAATAAAGAAAAATTTAACCAATAAACTTTCCCTAAAAAATTTCCCCTTGGCAACTTCAAAGAACACATGCCAACCCCCGGCCCATCACTCTTTTTTTTGCCTTTTGGTTTTGTCCCAAAAACAAAACCTTTAAACCCACAATTTCCCAAAAAAGGCCTAAATTAAAAATTCTAAAAACCCGGTAAATTTTAAAAAACCAACCCCTAAAAACTTTTTATTACGCCCTTTCTCAAAACATTTAAACTCAAAAACCCCCCCCAAAATTTTTGAATAACGAACCTAAAAAAAAGAAATACCTTTGTTTCCCCTTATTCCCCCTATGAAAAAAAAAAAAAGGCCCAAAATTTAAAACCCCTTTAAAAAAAAAAAAAAAAAAAAAAAAAAAAAAAAAAAAAAAACCCAATAACGAACCAAAATTGAAAAAAATTTAAAAAATTCTAAATTAAAATTAAAAATTTTAAAAGGCCCAAATTAATT